TTCCGGCATCTCAACATACTCTAAGGGCGTGCCCCAAACGCATTTCACTTCGTAGTCAAAGAGGCTATAAAACGCGTACCGGCCTTTATGATAACTAGCAGGAGGCGGTTGATTACCAAATCATTTGAGTTACTCTGGTACCCTACCATTCCCGAAGGGTCTCAGGGACTCGCGCCGTGCGGTCAGCCAGTGATAAACTTACAAACGCTTTTTGGTGTGTGCAGTTGTACACGCACTGTTACTACTGCTCGCCGCAGCCGCGGGGATGGTTGGCCGCTCGCTTGCTGTTGAGTAATTTTGTTTGAGACACCTTGACTATTTTTCTTCAAATTTACCGTCAACATTCTTCTCCAAATTATGTTAGTCCTGCTCACATCCAGAGAAGTCGAATGAGCCTGTGGATCAACCTCTGCAGCACTGACCAAACCTTTATGAAACCCGCACCATCACTCTTCATTGCACTAGTAACCTCACACACGCTCATTCGATCCTTGGTGGTCAAGGGATATTGTTGCAAGAGAATATCAACGTAAAAAGGTAGCCTAAATGGTCGTATCTACGCAAGTGTCATTTTCGCTCACAGCGTGTGATAATTCTATGGAGAAAAGGTCAATGTTGGCCGCTTGCACGGTAACGGGCATTGCTGGCCGATCAGACGGACACAGTCCTGACCGCTCGCACACTGCGTATTCTGAGATAAGGACTTGATAACCCAGAGGCGGAATCAACCTTGATCAGACTTGGTCATAGCGGCGCATCACTATGCCACTCCCCTTCAGCAAAGGCAAATGTTGACATCATGTCCTGCCAAATCGGGATAAAGGTTCACATATCTTACACTTCATGACAAGTGAGCTTGCGAATATCTCATATGTGTCCTAACAAAAAGCGAATGTGATTTAACTGAAGTACGTCGCAATAATTACGCGCCAGCCAATATGCATGTCTAATTACTAGAGGAGATGTATTTAGCGCGTTTGCCAATAGGAAGTTGTCAAAATTTCAATATACTTTTTACTGGCATCGAACAACTTTCATAAACATAAAAGCAATCGCTTGCTTGCACGGCAACGGGCATTGCCGGCCAATCAGACGGACCCACTGCTGGCTGCTCGCGTTGATAAATGTATTGACAGCTTGTCTACAGTCCGTGTCAACCTTGTGCTCACATTTTCACTAGCCAAATCGCAACCGTACAGCTTGCGCATTTAAAACTTGCCAGTTAAGGTCTCCGCGCTGAGCCCTTCCGCTGCCGATGCGTAGCTGCTCGGAAAAGGGAGCTTTGGTTGACATCGAATATATCTCTATCTCCAATTGAGTGTAGTGGTAAGAGCCCAAGTTTGATACATTCAAACCGCTCTCGCACGTTCCCAAAGTCGCAGGTAGTAAACTAAAGCCAGACCCGCCGATTGCCGCTTTTGCTGCCGGAAGCCGCTTTCGCGCCAGTTGCCGCTTTTGCAGCTGAAGCGCACTGGGTCACATTTTGTCTGTGGGGCGTGTAGTGGAGTTTCCATTACAGATGTGGTTCATTTCATCTTGTTGCCGTTTTTCCGCTGATTGCGATGCCAGTATGGTCAAATCATCGACGAAAGAAGTCTTTTAAACTAGTTGACCGACTTCGTTAAGAAACTAGGTTTCCTTAAACTTATTTTAGGTTTTGAAGCTATCCTACTATCTAGTTTGAGCTGCATATCTGCAAAAAGATGTTTTTTCTGTACCGCTTTCATTCGGACGATAATGCTATGCTGGATGAGCGATATGTTGCAAAATGTTGCTTTTGTGCTTTCTTTGTTTTTGAAGCTGTTTTACTGTGCTATAGGAGCGGTGTCGATGTAGAACGAAATTCCGATGCATTATCTTTGCTTTCGGTCCTGTTTTATTATGCTAAACAAATGATTCCTTAAAAAATTGGAGCTTTCTGGTGTCACTTTCGTCTTGAGGCTCGCCTACTATATTAAATGAGCAGTGTTGCAAAACGATGTTTTTGTACTTTTTTACAGTGCTGGCCAAAAGTTTGCAGCCACTCTGACATTTCGCTATGTCTTGCTGTGTTCGCACCTTACGAACTCAAATTTCGATATTATCTGCAAATCACACTGCTTAACACTATGTCAAGAAATTTTGCAGTTTCGTGCAGACAAAAAGCGACTCGCGAAAAATGGCGAGTAGGGCAAAATCGAAGTTGGTCAAAACTTGCAGCCATTTTCTGCTAAACGTCTTTGCAAAACTTGTCACCTCCAGTATTTGGGCTACAGATGCTTCCTTAACTCAGATTCAGTGCACCTTTCAGCTCAAAAATTGGACTCAGCAGTCCAGAGAGTTTCCCATCTTCATGAAAGTACCGCTACAAAGACGAGCGCTGGCCCTGAGCTCACAGAGCTTCACTAAAAACATAGACGCCAGAGAAAAGTTTCTCATTTATCACGTCTATCAAACGTTTGATTTGCCTAAGGAAATCAACTGTAAAAATTGCGCAAACTTTTCCGTAGCTGCAGCGCCATCATGTTTTCAATGGAGCTCTGCCAGCTTCGGGCCAGTGCTCATCCTTGTAAAAGCAGTCTTTTCATGAAGTTTGAGAACTCTCTAGAGCGCTGAGCCCAATTTTCAAGCTGAACGGTGCGCCAAATCTGAGTTAAGGAGATGTAGATTTTGAAGCATGCCAAGTAGTTCTTTTTGTTCCACATTCGCAAACCGCCGCTAAAAGTCCAGATGGTACTGCCATCCTATAGAAGCACGGATTAGCCGATTATCTCTTGACAACCTTAAATTTATCCAATTTTTGTGATCATTTGGCGGAGGAAGTTTGCTCCGTAAAGTCTCCTATGGGAGTTTGATGCATGCTGGTTGCACTGCATATCTCAAGGCTTAGGGGTGCATCTATAGCCCAGATGCTGGAAGGTGACAAGTTCTCCGAAGATGTTTAGCAGAACTGCAAGTTTTGACCAACGCCGTTTTCGCCATTGTCCCCAGAGCCCCTTTCTGCGTGCATGAGTCTGCAAAATGATTTGACATAGTGTTAAGCAATGTGACGTGCATGTGATAGCAGGATTTGGATCCGTTTTATGCGAAACAGAGTAAGATATAGCAAAATTTCGGAGTGGCTGCTAAGTTATGGCCAGTACTGTATAGACGATTCTCATGACGAAGAAAGGAAACCATCCAAATGACTTTGTTTTGGAAGAATTCTTTCAACCAGCATGAACCCAAAGCAAAAAAAGTATATCGAAATTTTATTTCACATGATATCCTCCTATAACATCAAAACAGCTTCAGAAACAACGCTCTGCAACGATATCACTCACCCAGCATATCACTATCGTCAAAACGAGCTTAATCGAGAAAACCTGGTTTTGCAAAGATGTTCATGACTAAAGCGAAACCGTCTTGCACCGATGTCACAGGACAAAGAATGTTGGACTTGTTTCTTGTTCCCGAATGGAAATCAAGGTTAGATTGAATAAATTACGAGTTTAACACGATATAGCTCTTTTGACAATGTGTGCAAAGCGGTTTCGAGTCTCAAGACATAGGCAATAGTCCAATTCATTTAGTAGTATAGCATTAAAACGAGGAAAAATCCAAAAAAAAAACTCGTTTCCCGACGAAATCAAAAATAAAAATTGAAACTGGATGATTTGAAAAAACTCCGCTCAGCACTGTTTCGCTTATTCTGCCATAAACTATCTCCATAGTGGGAAATAGAATATAAGGGAACTTCCTTCGACAATGCCACATCAGCATCGTAGAACAGCGAAAAACTGCACCCACATCAAATAAACCACGCTTAAAATAGAATTGTCTACTACAACATAGAAGAGAACCCCCAAAACGAAATTATAGCGATAAAAAATCAAAAAGGAAGAGATTATCTTATCAGCCCAGTGCGCTTCGGCTGCAAAACCGGCAGTTTGGAAGCTCTCTAACTGACACAAGTATCAATTTATACTGCAATTTTTTCAGTAAACATGAATGAGCTTCTACAAGATTGTTGCAGAGAGACAGACACACAAAGCACCAAGTTCCATCATAAGTCCATGCTCGAACAAGAATTGCTTCAGAAGCAGTCTGATTGCTGCATTACGATTTCGAAATGATCTACCGTTTTCGGCAGCCAAGTAAAGCATGGCTGTTTCTACAAATATCTCCATGCATCTGTTGGGGACGACACTAAAGCCTGCTTCCCCTTCTGAGTGTCTAAATGCAATTTGCTCCAAATGATAATTCAATAATTTGATAACTTTAAACCAAAAAAAAGAGCGTGAATCGGACTACGATTTGAATCAGTTCATGCACTCTGCGGAAACGGAAATAACTTGCTCGCTGAGAGTGCTGTGCAAGTTCCACGGGAATTTGTGTCCTTGTCTTTCACACCGAGAAGAAGCTCTGATTTCTAACCTGGTGTTCTAGGCTATCGCTAAAAACCGAGATTATAAGCTACATTCAGGGAGTCAGCCTTTTTCTCAACCCTTGTTCGAATTTGAGGGTCCCAAAGTACTGCATCTAATGCTATTTGTACACTTTGATGATCAGTCTTGATTCAAACTCAGTCATCGCAGATGTCACTTTCACATGAAGCAAAGGAGTAGGGAAATCAGGTAGTCAGGACACCTGATATTTCTTCTTGCATTGCACAAATTTCCAGACGACCGCTGTTATCGTTTGATTATTTACCATTTGCAAATTATATATCAAAACAAAAAGTCACGATGTGATGTTTGCCGTTCAAAATAATTGGCATTTACCTGTGAGATACTCTCACCATAACTGTGACAATGTAGGCCACTTTTCGTTTTGAACGTCAACTAAGACTCAACGCACTCCACCATTTCTTCATACTCTCTGACTTTGCCTTGCTACTCATCTTAGTATGTAGTATCATTCATCGCTTCACTGTTCAAAATCTGTCAAATCTCTCCACTCACACCAATGTTTGAATCGCTTCCAAAAACTGATTGCTTTAAAAAGAATCTGCAACCAAACAAAGATTATTACAGAGGCTACAACAGTGTTTTATATTATAGTGTCAGCACAGCTTCCCATCTGTATTGAGGACCAAGATGGACAGCACTTTACTATTACCCTATCAAATCTTTTATATCACTATTCCACTTCTAGGCATTCTAGGAAACTTTGCCTTGATTTATGTCACCATTCGCTGTCGGTAAGCTTTTCATCTGTAGGAGCAACATCGAAAGAAAAAAATTATATGAATTATTCTCGAAAAAGAGAATTTGTAGAGGTTTCCGATAGTGTAATGAAATTTTCAGAGAATAGTCTGGCACTTTCAAAGAATTGAAACTTAGTCACTAGTATTTCGTATAGAAGTTATACAAATAAACTAGCTAATTCGCAAAACGGTATAGAAAAGAAAAAGTGAAAATGCACGGACACAGTTTATTTACGCACTGACGTTTGGCAAAAGGAACTTCATATTTCATCTTCACTATTGAAGCTTTACACAACATATCTTTTCTTTGCACTAGATTTCACTTGAATTCAATAAGCTTGAAGTCAATTGCCACTTCTAACGCTGTTTGATAGATTTATGAAAGAAAGATCTTCTTTTACAAAGAAGGAGGAACAGTGACAAAGCGATATGTGCTTTCCATGGCTCTTTGGTGTACATCCAGCTTTGAACGGTAAAGCACCTACCCTACACATGAAACATTACAATTAATTTACATCGATATTGTTACTGTAACCTGGAGATATTCTTCTTCTTTTCATCAAAAATCATTATGGACCTGTCTTCTTGTTTGAACACAGATTTTTAGTGAGATTAACTACAAACAAAGCACTGCTTCAAAGCAAGATTAAGCGTTATAATGTTAAGACAGGTTTTATACCTCGCGATTTCAGAAAACTGCGAAGCGTTTGCAACATTCTCATTGCTTTGATATCCGCCGGTTACATCATGCAGCTGTTTTCCCATCTCGTGATGGTCATTTCATACAATTTGTAAGTCGCTGGGACACAGTAGTCGTGCCACAGTTGACTAGGTTAATGCAATTCTTTCAGTTCGTTTGATCATAAGACTCGCCTTGAGACTTGCTTATATTGGCAGATTTTGCCCTTCTTCAGCACTGGACATGCCGAGATACTTCTTCTATGCGTCACCATGGATAGAATGCTCTCTATGAGAAAATTCTAGTAAGCAACCCGTTATTATCTTTTACGAATTCGAAGATCAATTGCAGTTATCACTTTGTTTATTCATACAAATTCTTGTATACTACATTAATAATTTTTGTGGCTACAGCATTGGGCGTTTGTGTAACAAGTGTCGCATATCTCTACAAGGGCCCAAACGATAAGTGAGTTAACACTATGTAACACTACATATAATTCAAAAAATAATTGACGACCTTATTCGGAAACAACAATTACTCCATGTGCTTATGGCAAGGTCATGATGCAGACGTAGGAAGTAATAATCAATAATTGCGATTAAAACCATAATTATTACCATAAATACAGCTACGATTGTGAAAATACCCCAAAAAATAATCTCAAAAGCATTTTGGTACGCAATCGTATCTGTGATCGCGGCTGCACTATGCCCATTACATCATCTACTCTGGTGGCAGGCGTGGAGAATGCATGGAGACGGAGGTCGTCTTTCTTAACACCTGCGCGAGCTGCGGCGACGAGTAATAGGCGAGACAGCGCGTCCGCTATGTGCTCGCATAAGAGAGCACTTTGACGGCAAAGATAGATCGCGAACATCCACTCCATTAGGTACTCACGAGGCGCTAAAACACGATGAGACAAATTTCGACCTCACAGTGAAAATCTTAGCGCATGAATCACAGACATCGGCTCGCAGTTGTTTAGAGGCAATTTGGATTCACGCCAAAGGCCCTGAAATGAATCGTTAGGGAGAATGTCTAGGCACCGCACGTGAGCTCGCTCCATACTTGAGTCAGATCTTCTGACCCGGCGGAGACGTTATAAATAGCCGCGGCATATGCATTCAGTCATTTAGCGCTCGCTCTGGCATTAGAACTCTATTGGCGTTTTCAAGTGAGTGCTTGGTCAGGCAGCTAATTACTGATCTACCAAAGCCTTAGAGTTTTGTTTGCATGACTGCAGAGACGTTTGATCGAATAGTTCAAGTCTCAATGTCCATTCCAGGCTCTGAAGAAGGGACTTGCCGAAACGTCAGCCAATATAGTGTTAACAATCTCGGGTCAAGGCTCAGGAACACAATTACAATATCAACATAATTATAACATTTTCAGAACAGTTATCTGCACGATTATAGCGTCTTTCGATCCAATCATTCAACAATATTTTTTGCGTGCGTTTGCTGCAATCAATATATTTATTCTTCTGTGTTATGCACTGATTTTTCGAAGATTGAGGAAAAGTGTAACAGGTTTGTATTAGACTATTCTAGTAATAAGTCTGTATTAGACTATTCTCTGAAGTTGCAGCGGTTTTGCTAACAAGGACAACATTTTTACATTAGAGTAACTGGCATACCCGGCTCCGTCCGGCCTTGTCTGTACACTATGTTAAAGGCACAGTATCCGGGCAAAAACTCGAATTCGAGACTTTGCACTTGCCCGGGCCTATTCGCCATGCTGAATCCGAAAATCCACACTGGAGAGCGCGAAAATGGAAAAAGGGGAAGTGCGCGGGTCTTCCTCACTGCGAATTCATGCTCACAGCTTCCGGAGCGATCTTCCCGGTTCTATTTTCAAATAAAGCGTTCGCACTTGGCCCGATGTCAAGGCGATTGGCGGAATCGAAAAGAGCGGAGCTCCGGAGCGGAAAGTGGATTTTCGTATTTGTTGTAACGGATAGGCTTCATTAGCACAAAATCTCAAAATCGACTTTTTGCGCGGACATTGCCTTCAAAGTTTAGCATCCCTATTACTGTACAACCTTCCTCTGTGCGCACTTCACACTTTACATGTCAATTCCCTATCTCCGTCTGTTTGCCCACTTACCCCCTGTGCTACTTCCAGCCCCGTAAAAATTTGAAAAAATCTAAAAAATCGATATCGATAGTTAACGAACACCTACAACACAAGCCCCGCCCTTGTGTGCCAAGTTTGGTCCGGATCGGTTCAGAGATGGAATTTTTTAATTGGAACATACGCACATACTTACATACAGGCATACATACAGACAGACAAACGAACTTTCAGCTTTATATAAAGCTAGTTGGCCCAGCCCGGGCCGTTGTCCACCTGCACTGCAACCCCCTTCCCTCCCCTCTCATATGTTATGGATAACTTACACGCTTCGAAACCGCATCCTCCGGATCTTGAGGTGAAAATGAGCTTCATCGCCGTCCTTTACATGACTATGTTAAAACGTTTGGTTAAACATGATAAGCCTTCAGTTCCTTAGAAAGACGAAAACAACTCAATAATTCGATAGAAGGACCCAACGAATAGCCGCAAAAAGTAGCCTATCATCTGCGCATGTATCGAAAACATATATGTGCAAAATTTTAGCTAAATCGGTTGAGCGGCGCGCTTTTCTATAACGCACATAGCCTCCAAACTCACAATTTCGAGTTTTATATACAGGGTGTCCCAAAAAGATGTGCACACTGTTTGATTGTAAATAACTCTTTCGTGGTGAAGCGTTTCGAGAAGCTTTAGGTACCATTTTGTAGAGCGAGGTTCAACTTAGATTTACAGTGTAGAGCAGATTGTCGATCCCTCATTCTTACTGTAGGATTACGGTAGAAACTTTGAAGAGGGTTTTGAGCCATGAAAAGCCATATTTTGTTCCAAAAGGAAACCGAAACAACCTGAAAACTCTCACACTTGGCTATCTAGAGTTGCCGATTCTGAATGTGAAATTCGCAACTCTTCCTAATGCTTCATTAAAAAAATTATGCAAGGTAAGCAGTAGCAAACGTTTTTTAAGTTTTCCTAAAAAGTGCGGTTACACCGTTTAGAAAGCTTCTCAACCTTGTAAAGAGTTGGATATCAAACTCAGGGTTCCTAAAAACTCTATTACACAAATTTCCACATTTTTTGAAAATTTTTGAAACGGCCCCCTTTTTCACAGTGACACCATATGTCTGAAGTTTCTACCGTACTTCTACAGTTAGAGTGAAAAACCGGCGATTCGCTCTACACTGCAAATCTAAGTTGAACCTCGCTCTACAAAATGATACCTAAAGCTTTTCGAAACACTTCACTACAAGAGAGTTATTTACAATCAAACAGTGTGCACATCTTTTTGGGACACCCTGTATATACTAGCAGATCTGCCCGGTCCAGCCCGGGAATGATCACTGATCGGGAATGAAGATAAGGTATTCGGTGGCATTGTAGAAACTGTGTAAGGAACAAAAACAAAATGTGAACACTTATTAGTCGGTAGCATATCTCTCTTTCTCCAAATCAAGTTCAACACGCAAATCTAAGCAAGCAGCGCGAGTTAATTGATAGTAGCGCTCATTGTTATTATGAGGATCATTTTTTGTGACACTTTGCCGTTAACCGGCTACTTCATCTTCATTCACTGCTTGCCGTCAATTTTTTGTGGAGTCGGCAGTACTTTGCACTCGTGCACTTTCCTGGTCCCAGGGATCAACTATAGCGAATGTGAGTTGTCGCTTGTCTTGACATTATTTCTGGTATTGACAAATAATTTGTGCGCAATCTCATGAAAAATTTTGACCCCTCATTGTTTAAATTGAGCATGTAACGAAGAAAGCATTGATTATAAGCGTAAATTGAGCACGCTTCCGTACAAAACACTCGCTACAAAGCACTCATGGTCTCTTCCACGCTAAGGTTTCTCCGCATAAGATACATTTAGTGCATCCATTTAAATGAGCAATTGAGACTCACATCAAGAACACTTTTCACTGCACTTCGTCAACAGAAGTTCACAATGAGACATGCCAGCCTTGTTTACATACCCCTGTTTTGATAGCAAATGATAAGAATCATTTTTATTGCAAAGTGCGCAAATCAATAAATCGATAGAAGGACCCAACGAATCGCTGCAAAAAGTAGCCTATCATCTGCGCAAGGCTCGAAAACATATGTGTGTAAAGTTTCAGCTTAATCGGTTGAGCGGCGCGCGTTTCTATAACGCACATACCCTCCAAACTGACAATTTTTGAGTTTTATATATATATAGATATAGATTTAGCTCAGACAATCGCTGGGGGCAGGCGGGCACCGGAAAAATAGATTGCTGATCTCTCGCACCCCGCTCGCGGATTTTTTGCAAAGCAATCAGGACTTTTCGGAAGACCGCTTGCTGAGTCAGCGGATTTTTGAGAGACTGCCTGTTGAATTTTTTTCGCTCTTATCTTTTGCAGATATATTGCTGAATCTCTGAGAAATCGAGAACTCAGCAAGCGGTCTTCCGAAAAGTTGCTATCCAAAAAATCCGCGAGCGGGGTGCGAGAGATCAGCAATCTATTTTTCCGGTGCCCGCCTGCCCCCGGCGATTGTCTGAGAGGCAGCAACATAATTTTCGCAGTCCGCCCTTTTCCATGCGGTCAATCCCTGTTTCCAAAAGACAACCGTTTTGTCTCAAATAGTCATCTGATCAGCGGCCGAAACGCTCTTCAAAATTGAAACAAGTGCAGTTCATGCATTTTGCGAGAAAGCGGAACAAATGATAATTTGATAAGAAGAGTTTTGTGGAGTATGAGGGATACTGCTGTATGGGCGGCTCCTGAATTGAGGCGAGGGAGATGCGGTAGCGCCTCTTGCGTTGCTGTTGTCCTGGCTGAGCTATACCTGATCCATCAATCTTTGTTAACCATTACAAACCTTCCTCGCCTCACAATCGGGAAGTAAATAATACCTTTTAGTAAAGTCTTGCAAGGCAATTTTGGTGACATGCAGAAAAATGCATTTGGCCGTGTCTATTTATCCTTTTCTGCAGTATAGCCTATAGATTAGACAAGGCGTAGAGATTGGTTGTCTTTCTTGCTTATCCAGTTATCAGTGCAGATCCCCAGCAATGAATATGTAGCGCTGATCATTTTTCTTAGTGAAGGTACATGAAGATAGCTGCCAAAAACGTTTCTCTAGCATTTTAAAATCTTTCTTGGAAGCTTAAAAACAGAATTAGACCAGCTTTTCTCAAAAAAGTCAAAAAGTTCTTTTCTTTTCTCATTTCGCTACAAATCAATCGTCCTCGAGAGAGCGAATGTGCAAACGCTACGAACTTATGGAACTTCCCAATAGTAGTCCTTTTATATAAGATACTTTGAATTTAGTGGATGTAACTACCAGAGGCATGTACCGTTCTTTGATAATCTTCACTATCACTGTGGTTTTTGGCTGGTTCGCTACCGCTTTTGTAGCAACCATCATAAATTT